CAATCTGTCTAGGTGGGGCTGATGAAATGAAATGCGGATAGGTTTCTTGTGATACAATAGTGAATAATTGGTATCAGGACTGATTGTGAGGGTTGGAAATGTAAAGGTAGATGTTTTGTAGCAAGGAGGGGAGTGATTAACTTTTCAGTCTAGAAGCAGAGATTCCTGGGACCATGAAGGGAGAAGAACGGAGAGTTGGGCCCTACCCAGAGAAGCAGTGATGCCTTAGATGGGGGCAGAGAGGATGACGTGGAGAGATGGAGCAGCTGGGGACTTTAAACACAGAGAGGGAGAGGGGCTGTGTGCTGACGACCGGGGGGCAGGCTTGTAGTGTATACCCTTTGGTTGGTTGATGATGCATAGAATGGATTGTAACCACTCAAACGATATACGACAGGATGAATGTAAAATTAATGATCTCCCATGTAAACTATCACATAATTCACAATAAAACATTAAAAAAGAAACAAACAAACAAAAAAAAAACCCCTGTAGAGCAGATCGACTCCGCACACATGGCTCACCTGGAGTTAGAACAGACTTGGCAACAACAAACAACAGGTCATTTTTTCAGGTGAGAATCTGTCATTTCAATTAATGTATCTGTGTCTTGCTTATAAATACATTTTAGAATGATTTTTATTTGAAACTCACAAAAATAGAACTTTTAAAAATGACAATTAAGTGTAATACTGATGAAAGAAAACAAGAAGCCCAGTAAGATGCTATTTATCCACTACAAGATTCCTTTCATCACTGTGTTAAGAGAAAATGAAAATGTTTTTAACATTATTTCACTAGCTCATAAGATTATGCTGGCAAAAGAACACTGAAAAAGCAACTTTCATGCACTGAGGTTAGGGAACACACCACAGGCATCCTGGAAAACAATTAGGCCATACATCACAAAACTGTTAACCCAAAAGTTTCCTAGTCTTTTGACTCAGTTAAGTATTTATGTACAAGAAATTTATTGTTGCATTGTTAAGCAAAAACAAAACAAAATTTGCAATACTAAAGAAATGGGGTAAATAAATTAGGGATTATCCATATGACAAATTACCTAGCTGCTGAAAGACAGCTGATTTGTGGAGCACTGTTAGTGAGAGATAACATGTTCTTGATATAATATTTGTTATTGTAGTAGTTAAGTTCGATGGAGTCAGTTCTGACTCATACAGACCCTGCATTGGGGTTCCAAGGCTTTAAATGTTCACAAGAACAGAAAGCCTCATCTTTCTCTGATATATAGAGGGGAAAGTAGGATTTAAAATATGTATTTGGTGATGAGCTGGTGATGAGGTACAGGATAAACAAGGGACTGCAAGGTCGCTTTGAACCACAAGGTCTATAGTTCAAACTCACCACAAGGTCTGTAGTTCAAACTCCTTGTAAACTCTATTCAGGGTTGCTATGAGTCAGAATTGACTCGACGGCACTGAACAACAACATGATTCAAAAGCAGTATATAAAAGAAATACACATACACTAGAATTACATTTGCCAGTGAATATGCTAGTTAGGAGCTTGGGCTTTGGAAATAAACCAACCTGGTTCAAATCCCAGCTGTGCTACTTTCCCACTGTGTAACTTTGGGTAAGTTAGTTAACTTCTCTGTGCCTCCAAAATGGAAAATGAGGATAACAGTACTTACCTTACAGACTTGAACTGACAATTATTTGAGATCATATATGCAAAGAGTGAACACCTTTCCTGGCACACTGTAAGCCCTCAGTAACTACTACCATTGTTAGCACAATCAACAGGAGGAAACAACACATCAAAAGACTAACGAGGACGCAAATCTGAAGAGTAGAATTCCAGATTGTATCATTTTCTCCGTTATATTCTTTGTGTTTCTCCAAATGTCCTATGATTTGTACTACATATTCAGGAGTCCTCATGTGGCACAGCAGGATAACGCACTAGACAGCACAGCCAGTTTGGACAGCAAGGTCGGAGGTTCAAACCCACCAACTGCTTGTCAGAAACCCTATACAGGGTCCCTATGGGTCAGAACCAACTTGACAGTACTGAAGATCAATGATACAGTCTGAAAGAAGGACGCATTCCAAAACAAGAACATATGATTAGTCAGCAGCATTCACACGTGCAACAGTGGGTGATCCCAGGAAGGGGGCAACATGTCCACCAGAGAGTTAAGCAATGCTTCTCACCCCGTTTCCACCCACTTCAGTTCAGTTCTCTGACCCTCCTCCAGAAACCACTACTCACAGGCGAAGTTCCGCGGAAGCCGTCCTCTCCAGAGTTGCTCACAGGAAACTCGCCCTGCCAAATGTTGGCATAATGTTGACCTTTTGGCTGCAGTTTGTTACCCCAAGGGAAAAGTCTGTCAGAAGAGACACAGGCATCAACCTGTCAAACAGGGATAGGCCTCCAGATTAAAGTCAAGAGAAAGAAAGACAGAACATTGCTAGTTTTTTCTGTGAGTTATTTTTAATTTTAAAGATATAAATAAATAAAGCTTTTTTAATGAGGTCTTTGTGTTTCGTTTTGTTTTGGTTTCCTTAACTTCCATCTGCCAGCTCATGTCAAGTACACAACCACCTTTGTCTCTCCCAAGTGGTTGGGAGCCTTGAAATCAAGTGCATATTTAAAAGCAGGGCTTATCCAAGTCTGGGAAAGTAGGCCTCATCGCGGACTTATTTGGCAGTGTGACCAGGCCGCAGCACACCACATTTTGATGCTTTATAAAAGCCTTCACTATTTTAAGGAGTCTTTCCTAGAAGATGTGACCCACACAGACGTTTTCTGTCTCATAGTTTGAGAAGCAGACAAAAAAAAAACAAAAAAAACAAAAACACTGCTTCAGAAAATGTTTAAATAAGAAAATGCTAAAAGCATGGCAGCCTGCCAAGTAGCTCTAAGGAGTAATACACAGTAACAGGGAGTTGAACTGCTCGAACTGGCTTTGGACTAGAGGAAGCCCACTCCACCAGACACTTGGCTCTTAGGGGCTGAGAAGCTGGTGACCTACTCCTCAGGGCCTCTTAAGAAACTCTGCAGAGATGAAAGAAACCCAGAAAGAAGGAAAAAGAAATTATTATTACGGGTTTTTTAATCCACTCTCTAACCTAAGTTTGTTCCATAGTTTTGAAAAAAAGCTCCACATACTGTTAGGCAGATGAGATTCTCCAAGTGAGTACCTATTCTCCAGGCCTCCGCGACAGCTGTATTCCCATTCAGCTTCCGTAGGCAACCGCTTCCCTGCCCAGGTGCAGTAGGCAACTGCGTCGTTCCAGGAGATGTGGAGAACAGGGTGATCCGCCCTGGGGAAGAGCAAGGGGCAAGGTGAAGAGAGCCACAAACCAGGACAGGAAAGAGAAACCGGCTTTGGCCTCAATTCTATACATTTCTATACATGACACTGAGCTGGGTCCTCGACCTGGAGCTCAAGTCCCAGTTAGGCCACATCTGTCACATGGAGACATCACTGGCTCCTAAGCAGACAAGAACTACACTCAAAACATTCCTCCACTTTAGAGACTTGAAATGCCACAAAATTTCACTCACAGTGGTGGATATGGCTCAGTACCGCCCAAATCTCTCCGTGAAGGAAGAAGTGTTGCCCCGGCCGTTGGGAGTGCTATTGCTACAAGTTCCCACCTATCTGCTCCTTCAAGTATGACTCCAGCGTCGCAGAGCCACCTCTGAGCCACCAGTGACTAATCGCAGCAGGGGCATACAGTCCCAGCCATTTCAGCGCCAAGGGGTAGGACAATGCTGATGGGACATGAATCTCTGGGTTTGACTGAAATTCTGTCAAACCCGCATAGGCGTTTGACTTCTCTCTCTGCCCACTCTTGCTTCCTTCCAGATTCTTCTGCTAGTGCTGTTGTTGCTAGCCTTCCAGTAAATTCTGACTCAGGGTGGCCCCAGATGACAGAGAAGAACTGTCTAAGAGAATTTGCTTTATGGGAGTGGGGCGCCAGGTCTTTTTCCCCAAGGAGCAGCTGTTGTGCCTGAACCACCAGCCTTTGATTAGCAGTCTCTTATCCATTAGACCCCCAGAGTGGATCCCTAATAAATATTCTGCACACTGAACTCTTATCTCAGCATCTGTTTCCAGAGAACCAGATCTGTAACTCAGTAGATCACCCTCACATTAATGGATTCCAAGTAGGAATGACCAAGTAAGTAATTTCTTTCCTGAAGGTGTGAAGGGGTGAGAAAGGTTGGAGGGTTATACACATTTCACCAGCAGTAGCTGTGGTACCGTAGGATAAGCAATGGACTACTAACCACAAGGGAAGAGGTTCAAGCAACCAGCCACTCCTAGAAACCAACTCAATGACATTTAACAACACCAACAGCTAACATCAAGGAGGGCTGGTGGCGCTTCAGATTAAGCATTGGCCTGCAAACTACAAGGTCTGTGGTTCAAATCCACCAAGCGCTCCTCAGGAGAAAGATGAAGCTATCTGTTCCCATAGTAAAGGCTGCAGCCTCGGAAGCACGGTGGCGCAGTTCTCCACTCTGTCACTGTGAGTCAGAAGTGACTTATGGCAACAGGCTGGATTTGATTGAGTTTCAGCGATACTGGGTGCCTTCCTGGTTCACTTTTTCCCCACCCGCGCCCCCACCCCCAAATGGACTACACATTTCTACTCCACTCCTTTCACATCTTTGTATTCCCAGAGCAATGGTAATACAACTTTCATTTATTCTTTGGACAATTGTTTACTGGGCAAGTCACTGTTCTCAGCGCTGATGAGAAGCTCACTTTCTCAGAAGACTGGGTGTTTACAGCTGGGATAAAACAAACTCCCTTCTAGGTTTGCCTTTTTCCATTAGCATTTTCTTTCTACAAACAAATTCAGCAAATAAGATAGTGATTGGGAGCGAAGAGACCCAGTCAAGCTGAATGAAGGACCCTACAGTCTTATGAATTTGTCGCACTCATCTCCTAGACCATCTGCCCCTCATCCTATCACCATAATAAGTGTGGAGACCCCCAACTTAGGCATTGAAGGCCTGCTGACATTTGTCAAGGGGTTTGAGTTCTAAAGCTGAACTTCAGGTGCTTCCAGTTCCCTGACAATGAGGACTATAACCAGGAATATTATTTAAAATAGAGACTCAAAAATCCCATCTAAAAAATTAGGTTAGGAGAGCAGTTTCCATGGGCTATTGAGTCCCCATCCACTTCTCATCTCCAGGGCTTTGAGTGCCACACTATTTTTGCTTGAGATAATTATTTCCTTGCACCCCTGGAGATGTGCTGACCGACTTGTCACTCTGTGGTTTTTCCATCAGATGGTGGCTGAAAGTATGTCAGTCCAGGAATGAAGATACTGTGAATCCAAAACCCAAATGGCTGGCGCAGTGGCTAGCTGGCAGGATACAGCTACTATCCATAAGAGCAGTCTTCCTCCTTGTTCTTATTATTGTTAAAGGCCGTGGAGTCGGTTCCAACTCACAGCGACCCTGTATAGGGTTTTCTGAGGCATGACTGGTGGGTTTGAACCACCAACCTTGCAGTTAGCAGTCCAATTCTACAGTGCCATGCCAGGACTCCCTCACTAGAAAACACCTGTCTATAAGACACCAACAGATCTGTGTTGGAAGAAGTGCAGCCAGAGTGCTCCTTGGAGGCCAGGATGGTCAAACTTCGTCTCTCATACTTTGGACATATTGTCAGGAGGGACCAGTCGTTGAAGACGGATATCATGTTTGGGAGGGTGGAAGGTCAGAGAAAAAGAGGAAGACCTCCAGCGAGATGGATTAGCCAAATGGTAGCATCAATGGGCTCAAGTGCGGCAATGATAGTGAGGTTGGCCCAAGATCGGGTAGTGTTTCGTTCTGTTGTGCATAAGGTCAGTATGGGTCGGTACCGACTCGATAGCACCTAACAACAACAACATAAGACACCTAGTGATGACAGGCTGCAAAGATTAGACATGTCTGGAGATCTGCAATAGGCCTGTCAAATGAGGAGCAACATTCAAATAAGGAAGGAGGTCACTTAGTAGGAGCCTGTGAACTACCATAGTGTTGGGGTCTTCGCTTTGGAGGGAGGCTTCAAAATTTTCCTGAAAAAAATGGAATTAAAAGGAAGTTTTTCAATGAACTTTTCGAAGCCCCTTCTTATATTCCGTGACATTTGCTTTTTCCCACCAACCAATTCATTGTTTTTAAGTGCTGTCAAGTCAGTTCTGACTCATAGCGACCCTGGATAGGATTTCTGTGGAGCAGCTGGTGAGTTTGAACTGCTGACCTTGTGGTTCGCAGTCCAGTACTGATCCTACAACACCACACCAGGCGTCCACACCAGCTAAATGGCGTTTGTCATTCTCAACATTTCACAAATCAAAGTATGGAGCCATTGGGATCCTTTTCCTTTTCAGCAGCACAGGAGTCGGCTCTGGGATGAAACCTATCAACTGAGAAAAGATCCACCAGCCTCACCTGTGTAGAATGGTAGAGTCTGGCCCTTCTGGGTGTCTCCAGTTAGCGTCTTTAACAGGTAACCACCAGGGAGCAGCTGCCACCTCAAAGCAACCCAGAACAAAAACTTATTAGCTACAAAGACTCAAAAAAGAAACAGCGGTAGTAAAAGCAGCAACCACGCACTGTCTGGTCTTCAGTTTCCAATTCAGCTACTAAACACATCTCCCTTCACTAGAATATAAAACGGAAAGAGTTCGACGTATACACACACAAATTTATATGTAAATTAATCTTTAACCAAAAAATTATTTAAACAACAACAAAAACAAATGACATTTTGAAACACCAGAGTACCTAAACTCATGCAAAGACAAAAGCTATTTGCTGGCAGGCAGGAGACTGACTTGCAAAATCTGCCCTTTGGATGTTTAAATGATTCCCATGTGTTTTTGTGTACATAAAAACAAAGAAGAAGAGGGAATACAGTAAAATACTGTTAACCAATGGTGCATGGAGGGGGATTGCAATCATTGCAATGAAACAAAATATGAATGAATGCAAAACCAATATTCTGCCATGCAAACTATCATTCAATTCACAATAAAAGCTTTAAGAAACAAACATCAGCATGATCACATAAATACATAATGAAATGGTATAAATCTCCAAGAATTGTAAAAAGATGCACTGTTAGTTAAACTTCTATCACGTGAGAGACAGAGAAGTAGGGTGGTGGTGGTGTGCGGTGGAGTCGGTTCTGACTCATAATGACCCTGCATAGGGTTTCCAAGGCTGTAAATCTTTACGGGGGCAGAAAGCCTCATCTTTCTTCTGCGGAACAGCTGGAAGTTTCGATCTGCTGACAGTGAGGTTAGCAGCCCGACTTGTAACCACTACCCTACCAGAGTTCCTTAAGGAAGTGTATTTCCCATTTAAAAGTTGAGGATATTAACTAATCATACAATTGAGTGCTGGGCTGAACGTCAACCAAGGCGGATGAATGAAGATCAGGATAAAATGTCAGGTATGTGTGTCTTACAGGACTCCGGTTCATTTTCAGTCCCAACATTAGCTGTGTGGCTCTGGAAAGTTCATGACTTGTCTAGCCCCTCAGAGCTCTCATCTGGGAGACAGAATCAGGTACTGCCTGCCTCACCTCATTCAGACTCCCAAAAAAAAAAACAAACTGCCATGGAGTCCAACACGAAAGTCAAACATGATAAAATTTGAAAGTGCTCCACAAACTACTACTAGGACCTTAACTCCCACTTTGGGGTTCTGTTTACCACAGAAAGTGGTCCTTGTTTGTTGTTGTTGTTAAGTGCTGTCGAGTCGATTCCGACCCATAGCGACCCTGTAGAGGGTTTCCGAGGGTGTAAATCCTTACAGGAGTAGAAAGCCTCATCTTTCTCCCGTGGAGCAGCTGGTAGTTTCAAACCGCTAACCTTAAGGTTCGCAGCCCGATTCGTAACCACTACGCTACCAGAGCTCCTTGTTTAGTGGATGATTAAGAACAATGGTCTGGGAACCAGTCAAAACTGGATTTTCTTCTTTTGTTGTTGTTAAGTGCCCTAGAGGGACCAATTCTTGTTGTTAAGTGCCAGTCATCGACTTGGTTTTGACCTTGTATTGAGTTTCCAAGGAGCGGCTAGAGAGCTTGAACCACCTATCTTGCAGATCAAACTTGACTTTGCAGTCCAGTACATTAACCCACAGTACCACTCCAGGACTCCTTTAGTCTTACTTAAAATCAAACAAAAGCTTAACTGGTTTAAAACAAAACAAAACAAAAAGAGCCTTGAAGAGCAGTGAGTTTATGCTAAGGAGAATGCCTGAGAAAAGAATAGTTACACAACTCAGAATATATGCACAACTCAAAGGATCAATGTCATTGATTTGCACATGCAGAAATTGTTGAATAAGTGTATGTTCTGCTCTGCAGACTCTCAAAATCAACAACAAAAATAAACTATAAAAACACAAACCTGGATTTCAGTCAGGCCTTTCCCATTCACCCTGTGACCCTTAGCAGCCAATTTAACCTTCCCATGCCTGTTAGCTGATGAAGAGAATAGCAAAGTCTTCTTCAGGGGTATCACAAGAAGGAAATATATAAAGTCTTTCAATTATGCCCAACGATCAGTACAGGGAACCAGTCTCAACATGGCCTCATGACAACCAGTCATGAAGAAAGTAACACACTCTAATAATAATCACTGTTACAGATGAACGAGAGCAGACTCAAGATGACCCTCAATTCTTTGCATTCTGGGAGTAGGAAATGGATTCAGCTAATAATCACTAAAGAAACTCCATTCTTAATTCCTCTTCTTTTTGTCTTCATCAACACAATCAGAACATTCATGGCATCTCAATCACAGTTTGATGGAAGAAACCACACACAAAAAAAAAATCACAATGCTTTTAATTCAACAAAAGAGGTATTCTGTCCTTAAACATTGCTGCATGGCGTTTTATTGTACAGAAAGGAGCAGCGATGAAAAGGCATGGCTGCTATTTCATGTGGGGTAGTGCAGAAACTGCAAACTAGTAATGTTCTTATTGAGTAGACTATTGGATGTTTGGGTGCCAGTGACAGGAAATTCACTCCATATCAAGGGAGGGTGTGCATAGAAAATCCAGGACATCCCAATTTCCTTTCAGGGAAATCTTCAGGTCACTCACTCAGCTTTACCCTACCCCTAACACTGATCAGTTAGGTTACATCACCCCCACAAGGTTCTATTGCTTACACTGTAACAAAAATAATAAAGACATATATGAAAAATGTCAACCTTTGTTGAATCTGAAAAGTAAATGCTTTTTTTGTTTGTTTGCCTTTTTTAGTACTGTTTTGGGTTTTAAAATATTTCATCAATCATTTTTTTTTAATAACCAAAAACCCCTATCCATCCAGGAGCTACAGTGATGAAATTGGTCGGTAGTTCCGATTTACAATCTCAGAAACCAGAAGGAGCCATTCTACTCAGTCCTATAGGGTCACCATCAATGGGAACCAAGCAAACAGTAGGAAGTATCAATCCATCGGACCATTGCTAATGGGTTTACAGGGTTATGCTTTATTAGGCATTGCTGGCTTGTGGTAAATACACACATATATTTCTATTGACTATAATCCCTGATGTCTTTCATGGTACACATGTGCTCAACTTTAGTAGAGAGCCAAACACAAGCCTTAACAGCACAGATTCTCTAAGGAAGTCTGTGAAACGTGGAACCCCATTTGCAGGAAACAATTTGCCTTTGTTTCGAGTTCTTTAGAGCTGGACCACAACTAAAGTCAACGAGTAGGGGCTGACCAGATGAAGGAGGACCATCTAGGGGGCCAATGAGTCCCAGGAAGCCTGATATGAACTACCCTGCCCATGTGGGGAGGCCAGTTGAGGTCCTGGAAGATGGAGGTACAGTGGGACTTCCTGGGTGGTGAGTGTTAACAGTTGCTCTCAGGAGAGTAAGTACATCCCAGGGGGCATGGAAGTTCTGTCCAGAGAGCCCTCCTGGACCTTGCCGTATATGTTTCTAGCGTTTTAGTCTTCTATATTAAAGACAGCCCTTTCCCTAGATTCTGGGAATCATTCAAACAGATGACTGGATCTAAGAAACAGGGAAGGGGTCAATACCCGCTGACCTAGTCCTGGGTGAATGTGGATGAGATTGAGAGGGCTCTGCTGGCAGGTGGGGTCTGAACCGACCAGGGAAGGGATGTGGAGATTTCCGCAGGTGCAGTTAGGGATTATTGTGGAGTAGGAGTTATTATCCACCACAAACCTGGAATCAGAGGTAGATGACATCAGCTGTACTGGACAGTAGTTTAGTGGTTACGAGTCAGGCTGCTAACCTCAAGGTCAGCAGTTCGAAACTACCAACTGTTCCGCTGGATTTTGAAAGACAAGGCTTCCTGCTCCAGTAAAGATTTACAGCCTCGGAAACCCTATGCAGGGTGGCTATGAGTCAGAACTGACTCCACAGTACACCACCACCACCACCACCACTCCTTCAAAGGGGCACATCCATGGACTTGGTGTAATGTAGAAGATCCCTGGGTAGATAAATGCCTGTGAGCGTTAAAGTTTTGTGTCAATGTAGTTGGGCCAAAAATCTCAATAAACTGGTCGTTAAAATGTGGTAACCTCCCAGGATAAGATCTGCTCTAAGCAGCCAATCTATTGAAAAGCAGTTTCCTTGGGGATGTGGCCTACACACAGTGTACATGGACACTGTGGAAAAGCTTGCTTGCCTTTTTCTGGGATTGGATCTTGCATCTAACCTCCTGTTCTAGGGACTTGAGCCAGCAGCCTGTTGTATTACCTGCCAATCCTGGGAGTTGTCAGCAGCCTGCCATCTTACCTGCTTACCTTGGATTCATTCACCTCTGCAGCCACAAGCCAGACGCCTGACTCGCCACCCTTGGGTTTATCAGATCCTACAGTTATGTGAGTCAGGAGAAGCTTCCAGACATCTGACCCACAGACTTGAAACTTGCCTGCCTCTACAACTGTGTGAGCCACTTCCTTGATATAAACCTCTCTGTATAAACACATATACAAGCTTCACTGGTTTTGCTTCTCAAGAGAACCCAGACTAAGACAATGTCAATTTTACTCTCTTCTTCCCCTCAAATCTGTCTGACTACAGGTATTTATTGAGCAACTGCTACAGGCTACTACATGCAACTGCTACTTTACCCTAGCAACCTACCCTCAACAAACCCTGGATTACTTGACTTAAAGTCATAGAGTCTGTGATGATGACCAACCTCAACCATATGCACAGTGAAACAGGAAGCACACATTGACTCTGGTTACAGCACGGCGGGAAGGAAGGCCCTGAGAACACTGTTCTTGGCCAAGAGCTACAATCTTTCTTTTTTTTTTTTTTAAATAACATCTGACACAATTTGCAAAGATACATATACGTTGCTGTTATTCTTGAGTGCCGTCAAGTCGATTCCAAATTATGGGTACCCCATGTGTTATAGAGTATAATGACTTATAGGATTTTCATTATGGAAGCACATCAACAAGTTTTCCTACTGCACCAGGTTTGAACTTGCAACCTTTCAGTTAACAGCCAAGCACAT